TATCAGACCTCCCATGGCTGGTGTTGCCTCAGCTTACTGGGAGGGGCAAAGGTCAGCGTGGTGGAAATGCACCAGCAGGAGCTTCGAATTGTCTCCACGGGTGGGTTGCTCCACACCACCTTCAGCAACCTCCTGCCCCTTTCCCTCCAGCCATGCCAGTGGCAGGGAGTCAATGAGTAGACACTGTCTGATCTGTCCACGAGGCACCGTCTAAGAGCCTTTCCCCAATGACTATTTCTCTGCACGTCTAATCAGAAGTAAACCCCACTGAGTTCAGTGGGACTTACTCCAGATAAGTGTGCATCACATTGCAGTTTATATGATGTATGACCATGATATGTGAAGGACTGCTCCACCCCATTAATACCCTCATCCATTATGGTTAAAGGAACTTGAGGAAGTCCTTCTGCGCTACACTCTGAGGAATGGTTGGCTACAGGGCCTTTTTTGTCATGGCACCTGGAATGTGAAATCCCCTCTCCTGAGAGGTTCATTTGCTTCCTTCTTCAGTGGCATACCATCAGGCTTTGCCTGCAGACTTTGAAATTCAGCTGTTGTTTGAGCAATGTTTTCTATTTTATTTATTTACATTTATATGCTGCTTACTTGGTGACAACAGACTCTAAGGAGTTTACATTGAACCATTTGAAATATCCACGAAAAGCCAATCTTGAAAACTAGTTGATGCAACATTTTATCAAAATATAAATAAAACCAGCCGTTCTAAAAGAATTATATGTAACAGCACGTTAAAAATTTCAAGCTAAAATTACCTGTCTGGGCAGGCTTGCTGAAATGAAAAAGCTTTTAGCAGGTGCCAATAACAGTACAGGAAGGTACCTGACTCATGTGAATGGAGAGGATTTCTGGAGAGTGAGGACTGCTATGCAGAAGCATAGATTCCTTGCAAGCAGGGGAAAAACATTAGGTGGAAATTGCAAAAGGGAGCAGTTTGTTTCTCTAATTCTCCTTTGGTTTAAATCCACTGCCGTTTTAAAAACTATATTAGCAATCCGCTTGCTGTGTTTTTGTTGTTAACCATAATTATATTATTAATGGGATCTGTCTTGCGTACCCCAGATTGGAGATGGAGAGGTAGGTTATAACTTCCTTAACCTTTGGCCAGAGTTGACAGGTGTGTGTGTGTGTGTGTGTGTGTGTGCGTGCGTGTGTTCGTGTGTGTGTATAGTAACACTAAGGGTTTTCAAAGTGTGTCCCCCCCATTCCAATCAGATTTCCAACTTACTGCAGAATGTAAATCACAGCTAATATTTGTGTCTGTGGTATCAGATGAAGTGTGCTTGATAACACCTAAAGCCAGAGCCGGTAAACATTTATTCAGATGAGACAGAATTTGTACTGTAAACATTTGCTTCTGCATAGTGAGTACACAGTGCAGTTTCTGTTCCTTTGATAAGCTTTGGTTTTTATTTCAGTTACAAACAAACAAAAAGCTATATTTTAAAGTAAAGATATTATGAAAATATTGTAAAGAGTCCAGAAAAAAAACATAAGCCAGCTGAAAATTATTATGAACATTTTCACAGGGAAGATAGTTTTCTAACCCCATTAAAGAAAACAGCAAGAAAACTGTTCTTGGTTAGAAAACTGTCCCTGAAAAATATTATATGGTTTGTGTCAACCACCTGACACCTTCTTTGCCTATGCAAAAACAATGTGGTGTTTTACTACTCGCGATCAGTTAACAGTGGTTAGGGTAATAAGCATACTGCAACCAGTGCATTTCAGGGACATTTTATGTTTGTTTTTTCTGTTTCCCAAATGAAAACAGTATGTGGTAACTGGTTGAAATTTGGGGATGTTGCACAGATGAAAGTTGTGACAATGTCCTAGAAGCACTGCACTGTACATCTACTTACATGCAACTTGCATAATGAAAAGTGCACCTGGAGTAAGTGGTTTACCCTCAAATTCTGCACGAAGGTTAATACAAACAAACAAATCCGTCAAAGAACTTGTCGAACGCCACCCAGTAGTTTTTGAGTGAACAGGGATCTGAAAATCAACAACCCTTCCGAGCACAGTTCTGGGATTTTAACAGATGGATTCCATTAGCAAAGTCACATTATGAAAACAATGGAGTTTCAAAAGAGCTCAGTCTGATGTTCATTATTTGGGATAAAGGTAATGGCATGTACCTAATACAGTGGTACCTCAGGTTAAGAACTTAATTCGTTCCGGAGGTCTGTTCTTAACCTGAAACTGTTCTTAACCTGAAGCACCACTTTAGCTAATGGGGCCTCCTGCTGCCACTGCGCTGCTGGAGCATGATTTCTGTTCTCATCCTGAAGCAAAGTTCTTAACCCAAGGTACTATTTCTGGGTTAGCAGAGTCTGTAACCTGAAGCATCTGTAACCTGAAGAGTATGCAACCCGAGGTACCACTGTTTCTGAAATGAGTATCTCTAAGCTTGATGTCTAGATAGCATTGCCCTTTCCCTAAAGGGGCAGGTCTTTTCCAAATGAGATCTGAATGAATGAGACATTCCACAGGTTCAACTTCTTCTTTTGCAGAGTTATAGGGAACAGTAAAGACTGCATCTTCAAGCAAAAAAAACACCTGCGTCCTTTTGGCATCTAGTTATCCTATTTGTACCGAAGGTAATTCATCATATGGCTTCAATCTTCCCTGAGAATTGCCCTGGGACATGCAAAAGTTTGCATGCAATCACCATAAGGAGTTGACTGATGAAGTGTATTATTTATTAATTTTGCCTCCAGTCATATTTTGCTAAAGATATCAGCATCAGAAGAAATTTAAAGTCTATTGCTGCTTGCTGGTATCTGTAGGCACTGACTCACATCAGGATTAGAAAGGTTTTCTAGCCAGTGGAATAATTATCGCTGAAAGCTGATGTCATAGGCAAGAACTTTCTGCTAATGGTAGGAGCCAGAGAATATGATTGAAAATAAATTGTGAACTGTTTTTTGAAATATTGGCTCCGTTGTTCTGTAATGGAACCATAAACATGTGAATCAGTGGTGGAAAATTATGTTATTGACATGCTGTGTATGAAATGTAGTAAAGTTAAGGAGTATGATCACATTCTTTATAAATTAAAATAAAAGGTTCCTGTGGTTATAATTCTAAGCAATTAATAGGCTGTGAGTTCAACTGCTGCTTACTTCATGAGGGCAAGGTAATGTTGAACATGGACAGAGGACTGGATCAAATGGACTAAGAACGATTCCAAATTTAGCTGTAAAGTTGCTTGGGTTCATTAGGCAGGTTGGGAAGCAAGCCTATGCCTACTCATAAAAGAGCCAAGGCATTGTTAAGAATAACTTTAATTGACACTGAAATTAAAAAATGTATGAGTATTGCTGAAAAGATTTAAGATTGGGAAATTCCACTGGAGTGCACCAAGAGCTCCTTGATGGCTTGATAATTAACTATTATTGTTCTCCAGTAGCGAGGAGTTTAACTTTAGATCACACAGGAGAGCTACTGAATTGCAAATCTGCCATCTTGGAAAGGTTGTGGCTGAAGCCTTTCCCCCCGGGCTCTGTGGGAGCAAGATGTCTCTAGGCGCTTAGCAGCCTTGGGGGCTGGAATGCAGGCTAATGCAGCCTGCAAGAGAGAGAGTTATGTTTGTCAGCTCTGATTATGTTATTTTATTTCTAAGAAGATGCTGAGCCTATGCTTGGATAAGCCTATCTCCTATGGAATTACTTGGATGTGTCGTTGATGTTCTTGTTCTGCTTTGAAGAATGTTCTGCAAAGTTTTTGAATAAAATCTAATGGGTCCAAACAATGTTTCCGCCCCTCCAAAATGATCCCGTTTTCATGCATCCAGTTGCTTCAATATGTATGGTTGAAATCAGTCAAGAGACAATGTGCTCTGCAAGTGTGCACAGTTGTAACTTAAACCTTCCATTTGAGTCCTTCCTATTGTGTGTTCATGAGAGGAAAGAGGTTTGAGAATTATGTATATGAAAGCTATGAATGGTGGTTCTGACTAACAGCCTTTGATAAGCCTTTGCAAGATTTGCAGCAGAGCTACAAGGCTCCTAACCTGTGAAATCCACACAAAAAGGTTTATGAGAAACACAATAGAAAAATGTTACCGATGAAATACTTCAAGGGTGTCGCTGCTTGTGGAGTGTCTTGCTTGTCCCGTATCCATTTTCTGGCTTCGATGACATGAAAATGGTGTTCTTTCCCTACCTAGGCCCCTACTGAGCAAATGTCAGAAACTCCCTGCTGGGGTAAATGATAGATACAAATCATCTACCCACTGAACCTTCAGAAACTTTAGCCCTTCATTCCTGTAATGTCTCAGGGAAACTAAGATGTCACTCGAGTCCAACAAAAGGGATATTGGGTTATCAGTGTTAGAACCCAGCTGCTGTGTTTTATGGCTGTGGAACAACAACAGCCATTTTAAAATCCAATTATCCGGATTCCTGCTGCCTTTGTCCCTGCTATGCTTTTCTACAAAAATCACCAGAAATTGAGATCCCCTTTGTTATACCTTGCTGGCGTGTTGCTCAAGCTCAGATTCCTCTTGCATGCACGCTGGGATAAGGGGTCTTAGCAAGGGACTTCCTACATACCTCAAGGCCTAGCTAAACAGAAATAAAGGATTTAGAGAGTGCCCAAAATTAGAAGAAAGGCTGGACTCTGCATGCAGATAAAACTCCTCACCAACAAGATTGTGGCAGAGCAAGACTGTGTAACTGAGTTGTCTTCAATAGGATGAAATGTTTATCTCTGGTGTGGATTTTTTGGGGGGAGGGGATGCTGGGGAGAGCTGCTAGCTGTTCTGACTGCTTATATACTCGTCACCACCATCCTCTCCTCCTGTTGTCTCTCTTTTATGTGTGACATCTCTGCAGCTTTGTAATATGTTAGATATTGTATTTTCCCCCCTGTTCTTTTCACAGTCAATTTGCTCCCCTCTCTTTTTTCGAGTGGGGATGGCTTTTCCAGCCTCCAGAGCAGATTTTAGGGAGGTACAGAGGGCTTCAGGGTGAAGTGCCATAGCTTAGTGGCAGAACATCTGTTTTGGATGCAGAAGGTACTAGGTTCAATCCCAAGCATCTCCAGGTAGGGTTGGGAAGAACACTACCTAAAACCCCAGAGAGCTCCTTCTAGTCAGTGTAGACAACACTGAACTAGAGGGAGCTTTGGGTCTGACTAAAAAATCATCTCCCCTCTTCTGCTGGCAGGAGCGTTCAACGAATAGAGTTCCACTCATGGTAACTTTCGATTAACCAAACGTTTGTAGAGCACAGTGGTTGTGCACGGTGAAAATGGTTGAAGATGTGGGTTTCCTTAAACTCCCCTCCCATCACCATCTTCTCTTGTTACATGTAAGAGGCAGAAGCATTTCATTTTTGAGTGTGGAGGTTTTATTTTTTTTTAAGTGACTTGCAGACAACAGGATGAAAGTGTAATACGTACATATTGCTTATGAACATCTGGTGACACTTCTTCTTGAAATGAAGAATTTTGCCTCATGTACTCCTAAGGGGTTACACTGTCCTCTGTAAAACTTTTGTTTTACAGGACCTGTAAAGTTCTTTCCGACAAACAGAGATGAAAGTGAAATACCTTAAAAGATGTCCAATTCCCATAAGCTGTGTATCAGTTTGTGGCTGAAAATGCAAAGAGGTAGACGATCAGCACTTTCCCATTCCATGAAGAACACATAAGCAGTGTAGGCAATTCAAAATTATTGCAAGTGAAAGACTCACAAAATCACGTGTCACAAAATCATGAAGTTCAAACACACAAGCCAGGAGTAATATAGGAACCAAAGAGCCAGTAGAAAGAGCATATAATTATATGCTTTAAAATAACAATGACTTAATAATAATATTTTAATTAATGACTCCATTACTTAGGACCTTTTCCTTCCTTTCAAGCTCCTAACAATAGCAATTCCACTGCAGACATCCTACTACATTTCTGGTGCAACTCATAGAAGGGATGAGGAGAGAAATTTGGTTTGGTCCTTCTTGAATAACACACAGCTACCCTTCAAATTCACATTGCTGTCCTGGCTCCTGCCACCAGACTCGGTATTTGAAACCTCACCAGGGTTGTTAGGTTTAAAAGTTTTATTCAGGAATTTGGTGGAGTGTCCCAGTATAGGACTACAGGATGCAAGTTCATGACTGGATGTAAGCTAAGACATTGTTCCAACAGTTGACACATGCCCTGTGCTATTCTTTTGAAGAGTGTAGTGGGCTCAGGACATGGCAAGCAAGCAGGCACACCTCTGTGAAGGCTGAGCAAACGAAGTATGGGGAGCAGGAGCCACCTGAACTGCCTCAACTGGCAGTGACATGGCTCTTGGGAAATCTGATGTCATGGAGGCAGACCTTTCATCTGACAACTCACTCAGCCCTTCCCCTGGATGCAGGTCTCCATCTCCGAAGTGGCTGTGATCCTCCTCAGCATCAGAATCTTCTCAGAGTTCCTGATCCCTATTCCCTAGGCCACTAGGACAATGCCCTGAGTTGCATCTCTCCCATTTCTCCTCATATGCCCATCCTCTCCACAGCATCTCCATGAGGTTCATGACAATTACTTTGAATTTAGCAATGCACATCTCCAATGAAAGAATGTGTACAAAAAAGCATATCTATTGGGGGGGGGGAGTGCATAACATGCATATATCACTGAAAATAACACAAAAAATACATACAAAAATAAAATACAAAAATACACAGGATTAGGGCAAATTGCTTACCAAAAAATGTGCATTTAAAATGGGTTTAGTCAGTGTGTATCTACTAGGGACCACTTTGGGGAAAATTATGAACGTTCTAACCTCATACACTTGCACTGACCAAATACGAACTCATTTCAGGACTGTTTCTTTGAGTGTGTCTTGGAAAGACGAAAGCAAAAAATAAACCTACCAGAAATTTTGTAAATAACTTTTAACCCAAAGATTATATAGTCTTGGGGGGTTGTCAAGAAACAATACAATTTTGGGCCTCAGCTCACAGCCTATGTGGCCCATCAGTTAGACAACAGGTGGACTATTGGGCTTATGTCTCTACTTATTAGTGATATCACCAGAATTCATAATGATCTTGTTTGTACAATGGTTCCTGGCTCGATCCATTAAGCCAAGAAGGACTGGGAGTTTCATTTCCTGATACAGTGGTACCTCGGGTTACAGACACTTCATGTTACAGACGCTTCAGGTTACAGATTCCGCTAACCCAGAAATAGTACCTTGGGTTAAGAACTTTGCTTCAGGATGAGAACAGAAATCTCACAGCGGCAGCACGGCAGCAGCAGGAGGCCCATTAGGTAAAGTGGTACCTCAGGTTAAGAACAGTTTCAGGTTAAGAACGGACCTCCAGAACGAATTAAGTTCTTAACCCAAGGTACCATTGTACCCTCAGAATTACATTGGGATCAGGCATATATGAATTGCAAGATCTGAATCAACCCTGAAATGAGCCCATGTGGAATCAGGTGGGAAGAAGTTCACTCAGCACCACCTTAGCCCAGGATGGTGTTTGAACCTTGGTCAAATTGCAGTGGAAGATTGGGTGGCTTTCGGCACATAATCGTTTCTCAGATAGTTCTTCACAATAATGGAATTTAACTCCCAAGGTGATCATTCAGAAATATGGATAGTCGAGCCACAATTCAGTTCATGTTTATTCATGCATATGTTCCATTGAAGGCCGTCTCACTGACCTTTGTATCACTATTGGCAGGACTGCACTCCAGGGGTGTGGAACACTTTGTCTATTAACAGTGCTATAGAAATGATTAATTGTGGCAGAAACGGCAATAGCCAGGACCAAACTGCTGCAGGAAAATAGTCTGTTTTCCAGGTAAGTGATCTTGATTAGCATGGCTATAAGAAAAGGTGGTGTGCCTCATTCAATCAACTACTTATTTAATGGTTGCAATCTTTATCATCCTTTATGATTTTTTACAACTACAGGTGCTTAAAGGAACATTGGTCATGTAGCTAACAGGAGTCATTCAGCAGAATTGCATTTAATAGCTTAGTTTCCTTGGCCTGAGGAGCCTCACTGCAAACAAAAAATGGTAATCTAGCAAAAATGGCTATTACAGTGGTTTTCAAGCGTATTGAAAGCCGAACATTTCGGTTTTCGAACGCCGAAAACCCGGAAGTAAATGCTTCCATTTTCGAACATGCCTTGGAAGTCGAACGGCTTCCACTGCATGTTTTTCTGTTTTTTCCATTGACTTTGCCGCCTTTGTGCCTCAGTTGTCGAACGTTTCGGAAGTCGAATGGTCTTCCAGAATGGATAACGTTCGACAACCGAGGTACCACTGTATTAATATTTTTATTAGTAGTAGTAGTAGTAATATACCACCCTGCACCCATAGATCTCAGGACAACTCATGACCCAAAGCTATGTTCTACCTCCACTGTTGGAGGCAGTATGACTCCTGGACTCATGTCCTTCTTGGGGGCATCTGGTTGGCCACTGTGAGAAGAGGATGCTGGATAAGATGGTCCATTGGCTTTTCTTAGGTTATTAAGATGGTCTCTATGTACATGTAGTTGATGTACAGTGATTGCTGTTGAGCAGAACTGCCCCCCTTTCAAATATTACCATGCCTTCCTCAACCTGGTCCCCTCCAGTTGTTTTGGACAGCAACCCTATCAGGCCTTGTCAGGATGAGGCAGAAGGAAGTTGTAGTCCAAATGAACCGGAGAACATCAGGTGATACCCTTTTCTCCTTTCCCTAGGCTTTTTAGATCATTTTGAATGCTAACATTTATCTGCTCTGTTTTGCAGTTGTGTTATTGGTTTGTGTGGTTTGTATTGCTTTTATTGTAAGCCACTCAGGGAGCCCTTATGTGCTAAAGAGCAGTGTCTAAAAAATAAAGATAAATAAGCCATGTCATTTCCCAAAGTGGGGGAAAAGACTTCTTAAATGTCTGGGACAGATGAGCTGTTAACTAAAAGGGAACCAGTGAGATGTGAAACCCTGTGGACAAACTGTTTCAAATTCCATTTCATGAACCCCAACAGTGAATTTCAAAGGAAATCTGTCTTATCTGTTTGAATTTTGGCCATTCCCATTGGCCATTCAGATGCTTCTGCCTGCCAATTCATAGTCCTGAATGCAAATGTATGTTTGGCTCACTCTTTCTCTTATGGCAATACAGCATGAGGTAGCCTTGACATGACAGGATCACTTGTTTTTCTTGTGGACATGAAAATAGTTGGCCCAAAATGATTACAATATTACCCAACTGTGGCGCGCACACACACGCGCACACACACACACACACACACACAGGGGTGGGGAGACATGGCATTCATGTAAAGAGGACTCTCTTACACTGCAATATGATACACAACTACCTAGGAATAAGTCCCACTGAAGTTGTTGGGCCTTACTTCTTACAAGATTACACTCTTAAGCATATATGAAATTTTTTTGAATGGTCACCAATAGTAATGGACAAATCTGTCAACTTAGGTTTCTCGTTTTTCCATTCTTAAGTCGAGTACTTCACATATCTGTATCAGTTTTCTTCCTTCTTTTTGTTTACAAGGTCCACATGAAAATTCACCAGCATCTCAGTGCAGATTTCTCATAATATCCACACTTTTACCTGTATTTTTGTTGAGAGATGCACATTTCTGAAACAATTTCCAGTAATGCATTGAAATTTTTTCATTAATAGATGCATTTTATGTCCACCTTTCCATAATATGTGCATTTTTTGGCTGGAGAATGCCATTTGAAAATTCAGAGAAGTATGAATTTTGAAGGAGAGCTGCATTTCAGATTGCGTATTGTTTCAGAAAATGCACCTGAGGTGCAAACCAGAATCTTAAAATGGAAATTAAACCATTGTATTGTATTGCTGTACTGTTGTGTAGGTAGGGAAGTCACTGGCGCCATAATGATTTATTTGGTATGGGGGCATTCCTGAGCCTAAGGCTTGGGGATACTTGAGACCGCCATTAGTTAGGACTTGGTGTAGACACCTTGCTGAATGTTGGACAGCAGGACCCAGGTGCACGTATTGGGTTCACATACCTAAGGCTCATTTAGTAAGAAGGAAGAATTTTCTCCCAAT